TCCTACAGTTACCTCTCTTCCAACTGTCACAGGTTGCAGATTCACATTGTTGCTGCCCTCTGATCTGGTTACAAACAACACCAGTTGGTTCTGAGGAGCGTCCCTCCCCAGCTGTTGATGCTGGCTGCCATTTCCCAGGGCAAGCAACACTAATGTGCCCCACTTGGTTGCAAATGAAACATCTGCGACTATCTCCTTGCTCAGACATGGCACTAGCTCCCCCTCTCCCTGAGGTAGGAGCTGGAACAACAGATGGCCCGCTAGGCCTGGTGATGGGGAGTCGCGGTGGTGTGGTCCTCCAGGTGGATGCTCCCTTGGCAAACCCTCGGCTCCGGTCCACTGTTGCACGGTTGGCAGTGTGGACATCTGCCAGCTTACCCGCTTTAAAAGCTGTTTTGGGGTTCCGGTCCAGCAGTCATTCCTGTACATCGGCTGGGCAGAGCTGCAAAAACTGTTCTTTAAGTAACAGATCTTGCAAACCTTCTAAAGTGGTAATCTCTAGCCCTGTAGTCCACTGTCGGAATTCTGTCGCCAGGTGTCCCACAACTGCTGCATAACTTTCTGTGGGATGCTTTTGCAAAGTCCTGTATTTCTTTCGGTACACCTCAAGAGTGAGGTTGTACCGTTCCTGCAAGGCAGCTTTAATCGCATCATAGTCCTGGTCAAATTCAGCTGGAAGCGCAGCAAAGGCTTCCAGTGCAGGACCTCTGAGACCAGGGGTGAGGTATTTTGCCCACTGGTACTTTGGTAGCTGGTACTGCCTGCAAACTTTTTCGAAACTGCGCAGGAAAACATTTAAATCCCCATCTTTGTCCAAAGTTGGAAAATTCTCTCCACGTGGTTTGGGTGCAGAAGAGTCTCTGGAATTAATTCTTATAGGGGAGGCAGTCAACCTCTCCAACTCAGCTATTTTTAGCTTATGCTCTCTGGCAGCTTGGTGCTCCGCAGCCTCTCTCTCAGCTTGCCACTCTGCAGCCTCTCTCTCCCTCTCAGTAGCCTCTCTCTCCCTCTCAGCAGCCTCTCGCTCTCTATCAGCTTGGCGCTCTCTCTCAGCTTGGCGCCCTCTCTCAGCTTGGCGCCCTCTCTCAGCCTCCTGATATTGAAGGATAAGCTGTAGTCTTTGGTTTGTATCTGCTGAGTCCACATATTTCAACACAGTTTGCAAGTAAGAATCCAAAGGATCTCCAGATCTTGGTACATCACTGACAAAAGCTGCAGGTATTTCCTCTGCAGTGTTTGAGGCATCATTTTGCACCGCTTGTTGCATATCATAGTCCACCAGTGCTTGTAATAGTTTCTCTTTTGATTTTCACCAAAGAACAATAAAAGCCTTCAGTTTTTAAGAGTGCAGTGCTGTATTAGATTCAAAAACTAATATTCAAAAACACTTACCCTCTATGTTTTTCCTTAGTGTAATGAACATATAGAAAAGACAGAAAAAAAATATATATACAAATAATTGTGCAGTATATTAAGTGATGTGGCAAGAAATTTGGTGAGTTACAAATGTATATAAACTCACATTTTTCAGAGCCTTTTCAAGTTTTTAGGCTCTAAACTTCCAAGCGTCTGTGTCTTTTTTGGTAGATCACACGACCCCTCTCTCCAAGGAAAAGTGTGTATGTTCCTCTCTACAAGGTATGTAAAAGACACAGATATTTCAAACTAAGTGTAGCATCTTAGATAGTAATTGTATCCATATGAATAAAGTTAAAATGCTCACCTTGTTTAGAGCCTTTTGATAACTGGCTCTAAGTATGTAAACCTAGTGTCAATTTGTGGGGTGACACTACCCCTTCCCTGGAATCACTTGTGCAGGATACAGTTGAATAGATAAAAATGGGAAAATTTATTACATAATATATATATAAATACTATAAAAATATATTTTCTAGAAAATAAAAAACAAATATATATAAAAACAGTACAGTGCAAATGTTTGTGGTCTAAAATATAAGTCCACTTGGAGCTAAAACGCGTTTCGCCGATAAAAAAAAACGGATTCCTCAGTCTCCTTGAGGGGATCCTCTGATTCTTCTGTCTTTTAAATGTTCGAATTCCCACCATTTTCTCCATTATCCAATTGGGTATCTCCTGTGTTGAATGTGACGCGGCTGAATGCCGTTGCGTCACTTCCTGTTTTTCGGCACTACAAGGTCCACAATCCATTGCGGGTCATACATAACTTCCGGTATGCGTCCGTGCCATTATGGGAAACATAGTCCTCAATAATGATATTCTAAAGTCCATATTTGAGTCTTCTTTGGACTCATAATGGTATTAAATAAAAATAAAGAAAAGAGTGCATAAATAGATGTTATAACTTAGCATTGAAATTTGAAAAATGTTAAGATTTTGCACATTTTCATTTTTATTATAATACTGTGTATATAAAGATTACTTAGTAAAAAACTAATTATATCTGAATTCATTTAATGAATTTTCAATGTATGTAAGATGATGTTATGTAGCTGAATAAATAAATATATATATACAGCACTATACTTATTTATTAATATAGAACATGTAATAACACATTTCCATATATATAAATAGCCCATCTGTGTCTAACAGGGTGAAGGAAAAGATAGATTGTGATAAGTGTATTTAGAATGTATGACTCCGCATTGGATTATAGGAAGTGGCATAGTTCGAAATCAGCATTCAGTCCTAAAGGAGCTAGAGTGTTTAAATTGAAAATCCATTTAGTTTAATTTTTTCCTAATTTTCTTATTTCGTCTTCCCCTCGCCAGTTTAATGTAACCTTTTGAATTGCCATAAAATCAAAAAATTGAGGATCATTATTATGTACTAAAATTAAAATGTTCTGAAACACTATGCTTGTCATAGCCTTTTTTAATGTTTTGTATGTGTTCATTTATTCTTACTTGTAGAGGGCGTTTAGTTCTGCCTACATAAAAGAGGTTGCATGAACATTTTAATATATATATTACCCTTTTAGAGAAGTATGTGATCATTTGACATATTTTATATTTCTTTTCCCCCATAGGGTCATAAAATTCTGTAATGTGTCTTTTAGTACTTTTCGTATTCCTGCAGGCTAAACATTGCCCACAGCCAAGAAAAACTTATTTTTGAAAGAAGGGGGTAGGTGTATTATCTTTTATATGATTGTGAACCAATTTTTATCTTAAATTGGGGGCTCCTCTATATACAAGTCTAGGTCTCTCTGGTAATATGGAGTATAACATCGGGTCATTTCTTAACATAGGCCAATGTTTATTTATTATTTGTTTAATTTTATGACTCTCTTGGTTAAAATTACAAATAAAAGGTAAACTGTTATTCTCATTTCTGGTTTTAGGTTTATATTTTAGTAAAGAAGATCTCTCCATGATCTTTCCTTCTTTTATAGTATTTAGAAGGGAGGTTTCTTCATACCCCTTTTCCATAAAGTCTTTTTTAATTTTTATGGCTATGGTCTCAAAAGTGCTTTTGTCAGTACAGTTCCTATGAATTCTCATTAGCTGTGCTTTTGGAATGTTCTTTAGCCATGGAGAAAAATGGCAACTGGATTCGTGGCCATAGATCAATCATCACCACCGCATTTAGAGACCAAAAATCCGATAAGCCGGTTGCCAAACATTTCCTTCAAGCAAACCACAGACTTCCCACATTCAGATTTATAGCTATTGACCATGTTCCACTCAGCCCCAGAGGAGGTGACAGATCCAAACTGTTACTGCAACGCGAAACATATTGGATACACCGTTTGGATACAGTCACTCCGAAAGGACTAAACGAATATATTTCATTTTCCATGTTTATTTGATGAATTAATATAATCTTGCTAATATATCAAATCCTGAACCTCAGATATTGTGTATGTTACATTAATTTAGAGTTATTATCTAGTAATGATATGTAACAGTACATCATTTAATATTATTTGCCCATCTATTTATGTTTTATTTTTTGTCTATAGACATCTATAGCCTTATTATTTCTTATCTCTTTCAGATTAACCTTATGAGATTCTTGCCGATTAGATTTTTGCACTTGGAGTGTTTAGCACCATTCATTTTTCCTTGCACCGCACTTTTCATTGCACTTTAGATTATTTAACCTTATCAGGCATCTTGTCTCATAGGTTTATTATTTTCATTATTAATAATCTGGAAATCTTCCGATCGAGTATTCTCGTATCTCTTTGTTTTTAACATTCACTCCTTGATCTCTGGACAGAGATCTCATAGCACTTAGCGTTTATATTTACCATATCTGCATGTTATATGCACAGATTACGATGGTTGTGATTTTTTTTAATCGTAGAGTTTACACTCTATCACCTAGCAACCACGTCATATGTAGTGACGCACGTTGAAGGAATCACGTGGGGTGTCGGGACACTTCCGGGTTCGGGTAGCCGCACACGCGAGATTGGTGAGTTGATTTTTCTGTACTTATATTTAAACTGTACCTATTTCACTCAGTGTTTGATCTTGAAAAAGACCCTGAGGGGTCGAAACGTCGATTTGATGTTCTACACTTTGATGTAAACTTTTGTCACAATAAATATCGATTACGAAGTCCTTTTGAGTGCTCCTATCTATCTTTGGTTATATATATATATATATATATATATATATTTAATGTCATTCTAAGTGTATTTTTATGTTAATATATACGTATATTAATATAAAAATACACTTATAATTAAATTACACATGTATATAAATATATATAATAATGATATATATATATATATATATATATATATATATATATATATATATATGTACGAAAAGCTCTTGCACTCCAACATTCCATTCAATCCTGGTGCTCTGGTATCTTGAACATAAAAACAGAAAAAACACTGGCACTCCTAGGCTTTCCAAATGAAGATTCTTTATTCCAGAAAATTAAATCGACGTTTCAGCTCCATTACAGAGCTTTCATCAGGACATTAACAACACTTAAAACATGAAAAGACTTATATAGGGAGCTAAAATTAAGGTAAGCACTTACTTTTACAGCTGATGCCTATTCCCCGATCCCGCCCGATGCGCTCAGGTTGCATGTTCGTTTACTTCCGGGTATGGACACGTGATCGGTTGCTGCAAGGATTCCGATTGGTCAGGCACACCACGTTTCTAGGGTAACCATGGGCGCATTACCTCATTGGCTAATCCCTCGTGTACTGGGCAGTCAGGGCTCAAGATTCATCATAGCGGGGGGGCGTGGTTTGACCGCCAACGAAGATGGCCGCATAGAGCGAGTGCTCCACACCCCGGCGCTCAAAAAAGAACAGTAACCTGCTAATTTCCCGACCAAGGGCACATACACCCTGCCACGAACACCCCAATAATACCACCGGACAAGGGGACCGGATGTCCAACCGCAGACCGGCCAAAAAGAGCCCGAAAGAAGCTCTGTCAGTGGCGGACATGCTGTCAGCACAGAGGCCTACAGCACGTGGGGCGTCTGCGGCCGCGGGCCCAAACTCCACGGACCCCCTAGACTGATCCGGAGTGGGGGACCCCCCCCACGGAGGCAACCTCGAGTGCCATACTGCAATCCCTGGCCGAAGTGAAGGGCTACCTAGCCGAAGAAATCAAAAGAACGGCGGCGGAAGTTAAGGCAGAAATTGCCGCAATAGGTGTCCGCACCAGCCACGTGGAGAAAAAACTGGACGTCGTGGTAGAGGCCCACAACACAGCAGCAACCCTCACAAATAAGCTCCTGACACACATGACCGAACTAGAGCTGGAATTAGAAGATATTTCTAACAGATCACGGCGGAACAATTTGCGTATCCGAGGCCTGCCGGAATCCATTGAAGAAGCGGACCTCGAAAAGATCCTGATAGAATGCTTCAAACATAGCCTGCCTGCTATACCCGACCACCTTTGGGTCGTAGATCGCGTCCACAGGGCGCTTAGGGCCAGAGGACCAAAAAACAGCCCGCCAAGAGATGTAATAATGCGGTTGCATTATTACAAGACCAAGGAGGCCATACTGCGTCACAGCAGAGCCCAGGCCTACGAGCCAGAAGGAAACACCATTCAGATCTACCAGGACATTGCACTAGCCACCCTCCTCCAGAGAAAAGAATGGAAGCCTGTCACAGACCTACTGAGGACCAGCGGAGTCCGATTTGCATGGGGATATCCCTTTAAAATCCTCGTCTTCAACAGCCCGAAACCGACCGTCCTTCTCCCATCGATGAACATTCCCGCCTTCCTCGCGGACTTGGGCATCGATCTCGCATCGGACTTTCAGGCACCGCCAGCTAATATGGGCACTCTCTCCCTGATTGAAGACACCGAAGAGACACGCTGACGAAGACGTGCTCAGCCCGGAGACACTGGTGCCTGCTCGGGACCGGGCACATGGTCCACACGCAAGTTACCACCAGCTGTTTACCACCCATTGTTTTTACCCACTAGGGGCTTAACAGGCTAAAAGTCAATAACACAATACCACATGCATGTTTTTATTAAGTTTCAGTTAATGGACTTTAGGTTGCACACGCTGAACTAAGGGACGCCAATGTGATGTATGGGGTTCGGGGAAAGAGGGGTGGGGGGACCCGGGGGGATGAAATGTTTCACTATGAAGTATCAGACGGTGTTAGTACATAGACCGCAGTTGCAGGGGAATAGTCCGCACGTGCCAGTAGAGTATCGGGTGAGGATGGGGCTGTCGGGGGGTGGGGGGTGGGGGTGGGGTGTTAGGGGAGCTGAACCGCCGGCCGCACGCCATGAGGTGCACCCAGTTTGACACCCGGTCGGGGCCTCCCTGGTGGCGTGGGGTGGGTGGAGGGCCCTGGAGCCGGTCATGGGCCTCCTGCTGGCCTCCTGTCCGAGCCGTCCCAAAAAAAAAAAAAACTTTGCGGACCGGAGCCTTCTTGACTTAAACGGTCACAAGCAGTCGCACCCAACCCTGTCCCAGACTAGGGCCCAGCACCATCCCAGTGCTGCCGTTTGAGTGGGGATGACCCAAATCATTAGCCCCTTATGGTGCACACACCTGAGGGATATACACCAACCCACCGTAACTGCATTTATAAACCACTGACGATAGGCCACAAGAGAAACAGGTAAACTCCCTAGTAAGGAAGCAGTGAAAGTACTCTGCATGTAGTGGGGGTCTTTTGTCGCGCCCCCCCACCCCATGAGCCTAGATGGATCGGGATCTGTGAAGCCTTTCCACTTGAGCATTGCCGGGGTGCTCTGCGGCTGAGTTTCCCCCCCGCCAGAGGTGATTCCCTCGGTGCGGTGGATGCCCACCCCCAGATCTCCTGGCGAGCCGTAAGACCTGGAAGATTCACAGTACCGATAAGACCTAAGTACTTGTGCCAGTTTAACATTGTACAATTACTTGTTACGTTTTTAATTTGTGTATATAATTGTTGATTGATCTTAACTCTTTTTCTTCTTAAGGGGAACAGAGACCTCCCATTGGCCTACCACACTCCCCCTCTTCCCCTTCCCTGCACCTACCCCCTGACACAGTCCAGAGGGCCTGCTGCCGGGGGCCACAGACCTCCCCAACTCACCCACCTCAGACAGGTGATCGCACCGCGCCAGACAGATAAGGTACGCTGACACCACATTAGCACCATGGAACTGAAAATCACCTCACTTAATGTCAATGGGCTTAACAGCCCAAACAAATGGAGACTCCTCTTCCGTGAACTTAGAAGACAGAAAACAGAGGTAGCTTTCATACAGGAAACACACTTGCCTCGCACAGCTAAGACACAACTAACCAACCACCTCTATGTCAGGGCATTCACTTCCAGGGCACTATGTAAGAGGAATGGTGTTGATATACTTATACATAAAAAATGCCCGATAAACATCACTAAGGTTCACTGTGACACAGAGGGCCGGTACGTGGTCCTGACGGGTACGCTTCACGCAAACACTTACCACCTGATCAATGTCTATGCCCCTAACACCCCGTGCAAAGAATTTTGGTCAACCCTAGAGTCATTGATCCAACAGTTCCCCAGAGGGATCTTAATCTTAGGAGGGGACCTCAATGCAACGCCGTGCCCAGCCTCAGATCATGGAGGAGGGCGTCACCTCCCTAGATCACAGAATAGAGGGGGACAGGACAGACTTTTACACACCTTCATGAGCCATACAGGCTTATTAGACCCCTGGAGAATCCAGCACCCGAGTGTGCGAGACTATACATTCTATTCAGCAGTCCACGCCACCTACTCCAGAATAGATCTATTCCTAGTCAACCAGCTAGTCATGCCAATTGTCAAGACCTCGGAGATAAACCTGATATGCTGGTCCGATCATGCTGACATCGCACTTACACTCAGAGTACCAGGCCCACGCGCCCCATGGAAGTGGAGACTAAATGCCTCTTTACTTAAAAATCCCCAGACAAAAGAAGCCATACAACAGGAAATAACTTTATTTCCAGGAAAATTGCTCCCCCGAGATATCATCCACAACGTTATGGGCAGCCCAAAAACCGGTGATTAGGGGGCTCTTAATTAAAACAGCCACATTCTTAAAGAAAGAAAAAAACAAACAGCTTTTAGACCTCCAAAAACTACTAAGAAAAACTGAAATGCAACACAAGCAACAGGCGACCCCCCGCTCCGTTAGGGAACTGACCGACATTAGAAGACAAATTAGAGAATTAATGCTGGACGAGGTGAGCAGGGACGTGATCCACACAAAACGTCTATTTTACGAAAAATCAAATAAAACGGACACGTTACTAGCAAGGGCTCTCAGATCCAAATGAACAGTCACTAACATCACGTCCATTAAAGATCCGCAGGGCCAAATCCTCAATAGCCCCACTGACATTAATCAGGAATTCACGAAGTTCTTCACTCAGATCTATAACCACTCCCCAGCACTCACACCCGACAATGACATGTACATGGCACAAATCAACGACTTTTTACAGAGCGCCAAACTGCCGCGCCTCCCTGCTGAGGCCACAGCCCACCTGGGAGCGCCTATAGAAACCGATGAAATAAACAAAGCCATAGCGGACCTCAAAGGGGGTAAAGCCCCAGGTCCGGATGGGTTTGACGGTTCCTATTTTAAGACTTTCAGGGACCAACTAATACTCCACATGGCCGCAATGTACAAAGCCTGGACTGACGGAGACTCACCTAACGCTGACTTGTCTACGGCTGACATAGCCCTCATCCCCAAACCGGACAGAGATAACACAAACGTAGCAAATTACCGCCCTATATCCCTCATCAACTTCGACTTAAATGTGTACGCAAAGATCCTTGCCACCAGACTCAACTCCGTGCATGCTAGACTCGTACACGCTGATCAGGTGGGGTTTGTCCCAACCAGACAGCTCTACGAAAACACAAGACGCGCAGTTGACCTGATGTGGTGGGCAAACAGGACGCGTACGCCTTCTCTGGTCCTCTCCCTGGATGCAGAGAAGGCCTTTGACAGAATCCAATGGCCATATATGTTCGCACTATTAGAAGAGATGCAGCTACCTCCCATGTTTGTAAGGGCCACCCTAGCGCTCTACGCAGCCCCAAGAGCCCAAATCTCACTCCCTGGCACGTGCCCGCGGCCCTTTAACCTCAAAAACGGTACCCGTCAGGGTTGCCCCCTCATAGAATGTGACGGCAGATAAGAACCATTCGGCCCATCTAGTCTGCCCCTCTCCCCCCTCCTGTTCATACTGGCACTTGAACCCTTACTGCACCTGATCAGAACGGAGGGGGGAATTGGGGGTACCAGAATCGCGGCTGAGGAATTTAAAATATCGGCCTATGCGGACGACGTGTTACTTACCGTTACGGACCCCAAAAAGTCAATCCCACACATTCTCCGCATCCTACGCGCGTACCAACTCGTATCCAGATATCAAATAAACATAGAAAAGTCGGCTGGCATGCCTCTGGGCCTCTCTGAAGACGAGGTCCGGTGGCTGCGCCGCACGACCGACCTGAAAATCAGTACACAAGCCATCAAATATTTGGGAGTCAAACTCACGCTAAACTTTTCTGACTTATATACTGAAAACCACCACAGATTGCTAACCACCCTACGACAGGACCTAGATAGGTGGCATGACAAACCTATCTCGTGGCTTGGTAGGCTACACACTATTAAGATGAATCTCCTACCGCGACTACTGTTCCTCTTTCAGGCGTTGCCGGTAGCAGTAACCAAAAACAATCTTCAAGCGCTACAAACAGCGATAGATAACTTTGTCTGGGTCGGGAAGAGACACTGAGTGGCACGGCACACAATGTACACGCCAAAGAGCAAAGGGGGTCTAGGCCTTCCAAACCTTCACTTATACTACCTCTCAGCTCACCTAGCTCAAATAATTGAATGGCACTCGCCACCAGATAGACACAGTTAGGTTGACATAGAAACGCTCCTTATGAGGACCGACCTACCGCAATTTTGGATATGGGTGCCCAAAGCCGACTGCCCCGACCTACATACTACCTGCCCGGCCATTCTAAACTCTATCAGAGTCTGGAATGCCACGGCACATAAATACGCACTTACCTACCCCACATCACCCATAACTCCATATCTCCAAAATAAAGCGTTCCCACCAGGAATGTCCCCAAGGGACTTTCGGGGTCTGGAGGACACGGGTGTCCAACGCTACTGCCACCTTTTTCAGGAAGACACGTTCCGCACATTTGAAAACTTGAAAACCCTGGCCCCGCTTGCCTCAAAAGACTACTTCCGATATATCCAGCTCAGGGACTTTGCTAAAACACCCACCGTAGCAGGGGCGGCTAGGCTTAAACCCACATTTTTTTGAAACACTCTGTATGGCCGACGGACCACGTGCCGACCTTATCACACGTCTTTATATCCAACTAAGCGCACCTACCAAAGAAACCCAGACACCCTGCAATGGGAAGCTGACCTCCAACAGACACTAGAGGGCGGGGAGTGGCAGGACATCTGGGAAGCTGCAGCCAAATCCTCAATACGTGTTATACACCAAGAACAGTGCTACAAGACGCTTATGAGGTGGTACACGACCCCAGTGAAACTGCACAGTATGGGCAAAACCCCCACAGACACATGCTGGAGAGGTTGCGGGGACAAGGATACATACCTGCACATGTGGCGGACATGTCCAAAACATACCCGTTACTGGGATGACGTAGCCAGACTCCTGACAACAATACTCAAAAAACCAATCCGACCAGCCCCCTGGACATTTCTCATAGCCAAACCAATAGACAACTTACCCAACAAAGAAATGAAGCTCCTAAACAAAATAAACTTAGCGGCCAGGAGGGCCTTAGCACTGGCGTGGCTCCAAGCAGATACCCCACACATGGACAA